AATGTAATGTAATAGTTAAATATATAATCTTTGTAACTGTAATTATTAGAAAACTATAACATATTATATAAAACTAGATTAGTTGTATATAAGATATAAAAAGTTCTAGTAAGTTTTTTGTCTAGAATAAAATAATTTTAAAGATTTTGAAGTTATCAAATATTTTGAATAAATATAATCCTAAAGATGTCATTATAATATAAGTTAGAATTACATATACAAGAGTTTAAATAAGCAAAACCTGTAATTAACTTGTAAGTATAATATCTAATATAAAATTTGTATAATAATGTATAGATAAATTACTTAAATTAGACATCATAAATATACATATAACTAGTTATAACTTATATATATAAATATTTTTAAAAGCATCTGTGTCTAAAAGAACTTGAATAAAAATCCTAATTCTCAAAAATAGAAACTTTAATTTTAAAAAAATAAAAAATAAAAAATAAAAAATATATGTAATTTTGTTTTTCTAAACAACTTTATTTAAAATATAAATATTAATTAACTTAATAAAATTTTTTTTTTGCTTTTACTAAAGTTATTAGTATTAGTAACTATAGTTTTTATTGTAATTTTAATTATATTTACATATTTGTTTACATAACTTGTATATGATAAATATACAACTAGCCATATGTGCAACTTTTAATTATCTATTTTAAGTAGTTTGCCTGCACAGCAGGTTTTATACTAACTGCCATATTTGCAATCTACTAAGAGATTATTTATTTAAATACTCTGATCTCTATATATATTAGACAAATAGTGCACAAGTTTCTGTATATTTAAATGCTGTCTAAACTATTATGAACCTTTCTTTTTATATATCTATTAAGCTGTTACATATTTCAAAATATGTTACCTGATTGTAAAGCTCCAGAAAGCTTTTTTGCTAACTAACTACTCATATTTAATCTTTATTGTTAACAGAACTTGTTCTTGTAGAGTTTACCTAAACTTCAGTACTAACTTTATAGCATATTTCTAATACTTATAGTATACTTTTGCTTTTATTCTTAGACTTTTAATCCAAATAATCTGAAAGAACTATGATCTGTTTCTAATATTCTAGAGATTTGGTTCTCAAGATCCTTTTCTTCTAGTTTAAGACTTTCAACAATTTGGTTGATAGTACCTCTTATCTAAGGTTCTTGTTTGTCTGATTTCTTTTACATTAATATCTATTTTCTAGATTTAGCTTTTATAGTAATACTATTAAAGATCTGTATTATCTTTCTATTTAGTCTTTCCAAGTAGGCTCTGATTTTTCTTAGTTCTACAAATTTACATAGTTATGAGAACTTATTTTGTATTTGCATCACCTGATGCTGGTTTGTATTTCTTTATATAATTTCAATATTGCACAGATGTCTTATAATCTGCTAATCATGCTAGTATGACTGTAACTATAGGTATCTGATTCTAACTAATTAATAAAATACTGTTACTGTAATATTACTTATCTTCTGTAATACTAATATTATATAAGTAATTTTTTAAATTTTTACTGTTGGTAAGTTTTGAACTTCTAACCTATTACTTGAAAGGTTGACAACTTATTCACTTTACTAAGTTACCACATCTCTTAATAAAATTTTGATTTTTAAATAATCTTAAGATTGAAACAATAATCTAAATATGACTTAATAATATTAATAGGCAAGTTTAGAGAGTTTAAAATAAAACACTCAAGTAAGAATATTAAGTACAACAATTAGTAAAAAACCTTTGAGCAAACTCCTTAAATAAATAATATAAAAAAGTTACACATATAACCAATTGTATACTCTTTCTATAATGGTTTATAAAACCACATTACCAAAAAAATCATTAATAAAAGTCAAAAAACCAAAAAGATCACCTTAATAATAAAAAAAATTTTTTTTGATTTATATATATAAAACTATACAAATGTAATATCTTGGTTTTTATAACATGAAATTTTTGTTCAAACCTGACCAGTTGATTTTTTTTTTTAATTTTTCATATATAAATTTTATAAAATTTTTGAATTTTTTTTTTAAAAACCCTAAAATATATAAAAAAATTTTTTTATAAACTTTTAAATTTTGACCCAGCCGGGTTATAAAAACCAATTAATTAATTTTGTATGACCTAACTATAATTGTTAATTAGTAAAATTATAATATTCAATATCTTTTTATATTAGCTATTTGATCAATAAAATTATTTTATATTCAAATGATCCAAATAACCCAAATAACCTAATGACCAAATGACCTGGATCATTTAAACAAATTACTAGGTCATTTGAATTTTGAGCAAATGATCAGGTCATTTACTATTCTTGCTAAATGCTACTTATTTACCCCGGCCTAGGCTCTATTAGAAGAAGTTCCTTGGCCTCACTTAGATTTTTTTGTCTTACAAATGATATCTGATGACATATTGTACTTGTAGTATAGTTCAGTCCATTTTATCCATTTTGTATGTATCTTCAATGTTATTGTTATTGTTGTCTAACGTTTTATTTGTAATTTGTAATGTTTGGGTGTTGTTTTGATCTTGTATTTCTTTTACTGTTTGCTTTATTGTTTGCCACAATTTTGCATCTAGGTATATATGCAGTGCTATATAGTGACAGAGGGTATAATGAAATGTATCGAAGGATACGAAAGAAAAATTATTGAAGGTACTACTAAAAGCTCAAAAAAAATCTATCCCTATTGACCCTTTATATAGTTTTTCTATTAGCCTCAAATTAGTGCCAAAGTAAGAATGCAAATGATTTAAAACAGAATGTTTTAAACCAGTTTATATTGCTTTAAAATGATTTTTACATGTTTTAAAACATCGTCACCAATATTGATATCATGATTAATAATAATGATATGGTTATCTTCTGACTTTTGTAACATAAACTGATGGTTAAGAAATAAAAAATTCATGGCGACACTGAAGTTGAAATTAACCAATTATATACAGTAATTTTAGCTTCATCCATCAGCACAATGTTTTCAAGTTAAAAACATAAAAATCATTAAAAAGCGATTTTTTACCATCTACTGCCAAGGGAAAACCTGTCATCGTGCTTTCAATTATATTCTTTGTCCAGTTTGTTCCCGGAATGCCATCTTGGGAAATCTATTATCTGGTTTAATCAATTATATTTTACAAATATAATTAAAAGCCCGATGATAGATTTTCTCTAGACGGACGTGCGTACTTACGTATTAGACTTTTAATCAATTTTATGCTATCTACGATCACGCAATTCATGCAACGCAATCATGTTACATAACCCGAACCCCGACGCTACAAATTACCGGGGTACTATAGAACGTGTCGAACCCACACAGAGTATTACATATTAGCAAAGCAAAGAAAATAATAATAAAGGCTTATACAAAGGAAAATTTTTAGCCAAAATTTTCCCAATAGATAAGATAGTCTCCGAAAATTGTAACTTTTTTTTAAATCCAGATTAGCGAGATTGAACATTTAGATAAATTAGTAAGAAAACAAAGGATGTTTATTTTCACAATACAATAATAACGTGTTAAATTTTATGTTTTCTGTGTAATTTTAGAGGTTACATATTCAACCAGTTTGACCCGGTGGAACCGTGTTGACACGGGTGACCCGGTTTACTATAACCCGGTTCTAAACTCTCCTGTAATTTGGTATTGAGAAATTAAGATTTTTCTAAGTGAATTACTAAATCTGTAAGTTGAGAGAAATTTGCAAGAGATGTAGATTGCAGAGCTTCTTGAACTAAAATACCAAATAATAAAAATATAAGAAAACAAACAAGAATATAAAGCCATTCTAAGATTATTAATCATAAAATGTCTTACCGATTTTTTTTGGTTGCAACATATTTGTTGAAAGGTCGACGGTCCATCCACGTTCATCCGTAACTAAATTAAAATTGTCATTTTTATTCTAACGTTTTAGCCTAATTTCTTGTATAAACGAAGCAGAAACCATACCCGACAAAACCTTTTCACGGGGCAAACCAAGATATCTGCCTACATCATCAATCGTAATGGAAGAATAAGCCTCTGACAAAAGAGCAAGCATACGCTCTCGTAGGTTTTCTATGAATATTAAAATTTAATATACCGACCATAATAAAAAAAAAAAAACTTCTACACCGTAGTATTAAGCACTTACCACAAAGCTGCTCCATTAAAGGTGCTATTACAGGACTCCATGTATTTGAATCTATGAGTTTATACGTATTATCATAGTCTCTCTGCCACAGCGCAACACCAACATCCCAAATTGATCGTAACTCCTTTGAATTCCCTTTAACATTGTCTCCCAATCGTTTCCAAAGGAACCTTGCCGATGGCCTATTATAAAATGGGCAATAACGAGTAAAAATGAATCAGTTCATAACAGATCAAAAAAAAAAAAAATTAAGAATCAAGTTATTTACAGGTCCTGTTCAAGTAGATAACCAAGTAGAAATGTGTTATAAAAGTCCTCTAAACTTATGGTATTGTTCTGTGTAAGAGCCAGCTTAAAAACGGTTTAAAAAGTATATTGGTGAGGTGAATTCGTGTGGCTTTTGCTTAACAAAAAACGCAAAGCAATAATAAAATTACTTGTGGTTCTAACTCTTCGCAAAAATTTACAAGCCCAGTGTAATCACGATTTGCAATATGTCCCTTGATAGCTTCCATGGTTAAACGATGAGTTATAAAAGTAATTCGCGTTTAAATTGATCTACGTAGGTCGGTCTTTTAGGATGTGAAAATCACGGGTTGCTTGGAATTAGGCTAACGTTACAATTTTAACATAACATAGGGCCTGGTCTCTAAAAATTTTCCTTTTTTGTTAAAATTTTGAAAGACCATCGGCCTAAATTACTTTAGTGCAGGCGCATTTTTTGTAGTCAATTACTTATTTCCTAACGCTAACGTTAAAATTTTTAAGATAAATCAACCTAATACTTTGTAAGTTAGATACATAATGTCAGATCATAAAATGATACTAATCAAAATTCTAATGGATCTAAGATGGATGAACCCGAATCAACTTTACAAAGCCACAATTCTTCTAAAGCTCCATCTGTTGAAGCTCCACCTTCGTCTTCAGACGCTAATTCAACACATATAGAGTCTAATCTTAGTACCGCTAATACTTTACCGACGCCTTCATCTAATAATGATAATTTAAATCTGACGCTAAAAAGAAGGAGCGCAACACCTGTGGCATTGATTTCAGCAGATATTAGACAAGTAAGGAGTCGTGCCCAAAGAATTAACGCATATTGTAAGAACTTTTTATATATTCAAATATTCAACATCAGTTTTGTACAATTTTTAATATATTCATCATTCAATTATTAAAGCCACAAAATTTGAGCTATTGAAAAAGGAAGATACGGGATTGCGATCATGGCTCAACTTGAATATTATAAGTGAACTTCCGTTGTCTATAAAAAGTATGTTTTCTATTGTATAGAAACTATATGAATTTTGAAAAATAATTTAACCTTTTTCTAACAGACTACAAAAAGAGATTTAATGAAACTTTACCATCCATCGCAAGTTTGGCAGCGAATAAAATATACTCTAACCTTTCGTTAGCAACGAGTGCCAGTAGCCAACCAACCTTGTCATCGACATCGCGTACCACAGATAGTTCTGCAGATATAAATGTATCGGCTTATTCAAGTTCACTGAATTCTTCTAAATCTTTTGCGCGGACTTTTTTAGATATAGCTGTTCAAACTAATTCACCCAAAGGTCGTCCATTATCCCCACCCATGTCACCCATGTCATCCAAACCTAAAACGCCTAATATTTTCCATCTGAATAGACGTGGTAGTATTAGTAAGTCTGGTCGACCAATGATAAACATGCCTCCAGCTGTGATGAATGACCCATCTGCTAATTCAGCTCCCTTGTCTCCAAAATCACCGAAAACAACTTCACCTAAACGTCAAAGGAGATTTAGTTTTCAAGCTGTTTCTTCAAAATTATTATTTGGATCATCTGGTACATCGTCATTATCTTTCCCAACTATTGAAGAAAAGACGGATACTAATTTATCCAATTCAGTTGTCATTGATGAGAATGCTTTAAATAGATTATGTGACGTATTACCACACGCGGACAGAGATGTCTTGATAAAATATTTGCGTGCAGCGGGTGGAAAAGATGATTTAATTGCTGTTGGTCTTTACATGAAAGATTTAAAAAGCGGTGAAATATAAGCTTAAAATTTTATATTAGACATATCGGTTTATGCACTTGACGTGCTTTATACCTTTTTGTTTTTTTACATAAGCCTTCATCAAGAACTATACCATTTTATCATTTACTTTATTCTTTTTTTTGAATTAAAGTACTGTATTTCAAAGATGGCTTAATATATTTCAATAATGTAATGTAATATATTCCAAATTATTTTTTATTTGCCTAAGTAATTAACTAAAAACACTTATAATTTAATTTGATATAATAATATTTGAAAATATGAATTAATTTTTTGTAATATTTATTCTTAGATTATAAGAAAAAATTTAAATTATTTATAAACTAAAAATATACAATTTTGAAAAAAATTTTAATAAAAAAATATTTTAACTAATTTATAATAAATATTAAATTTAAATTTATAGTTTTTAATATAATTTTTTTAGTTTATATTAAAAAATTATTTCTTAATTTGTAAGCTTTTTTAGGCAAATTTGTCTGAAAAATTGTTAAAAATATGTTTATGATCTATATTTTTTAAATTTTAAAAATATTTAAATAAAATTTTATTTGATAATATTTGAAAATAAGGATTATATTATAGCAGTATTTAATTTTATATTA